CCCCCCCCATTTTTACTTCCTAAATGTCTCAGCTGCTGAGTTAGACGTGAGACAGATGAGAAATAGCATCTTGCTGGCATAAAGCAAACCTGACAAGGGAGTCAGGCCAGTGCCTACACTTCTCACTAGCCAGATGGCAGAGGCCAGTGGTGGGAACCTCTGTGGTGCCTGGTGCCAAGTTTCTCAACACCAGCACTGCTGCTTGGGAGTGCCAAGTCAAAACCACCAGCTTAGACCGAGGCACCAACTCCAGGGGTTCACCTTTGTAGGCTCAGAAAGTGAGCTAGGTTGTACAAAGCATGATTCTGCTGTAAGGAAAGGATTTCTCAGGGAGGCTGCCTGTCTGACAGAAGGGGGAAGAGGCACCAACAGCAATGCAGGTGTCTTCTCTCCATCAGTGGAGCTTAGATTGCTACATAGGGCGGTGGGGAATCCTTGGAAGGCAACTCTAAGGCTTCCTCATATGATGGCAGCAGACCCTGAAAGAGAAGACCATTAGTTATGCTCTGGGGATCACAATGAGGGTTTCAAATGGATTTGATCTTGGATGTGTTTTTCTACCAAGTTTAAGCAGGGCAGAAGAACCATCTGGGCTGTAAGACATAAGGGGTAGGAATCCAGAAGAGTTAGAGGTCAGCAGTGCTTTATGACCACTTTGCTGCCAGTCCCACCTCCTGCTCCCAAAGAATGGTTGCAATCAATGGACCAAGGCTCTTAAATGCCCAGAATAGAAGCCCCATTGCCTACCCAAAGAAGCCAAGCTCAGGTCCTTGCATAGGACCTTGCACAGGACCATGATGCAAGCACAGCAGGAGCACACACTTCTGGCAGGACAAGGCTCATCATATTTGCCAAGTTTCAACAAGACTGATGCCTGCACTTAGCATTCCATGGTCTAACTCTTTTACTTCTCATCCATCTTTACAGTATTTCTTATTTTTGGAAGGTCTTCAATATCTTCCCATGGTGTCAGAGCACCTGGATGCTACTATTAAAGAGATCATCAGTAATCTAAGGAAGGACAGTGATATTCATCATTTAGCAAACTGTGAAGATGAAGGACAATGCACCAAATCTCTGAGATATTGATCCAGTGAGAGGTGAAGACAAATTTAATTTTAAACAAGGGTTGCACTATTAGGCACAGAAACCAAAGTTCAACTAAAATTATAAACAACTCTGGATCAGAAAGTACAAGTGATATGTTCTCATTTATCTGCTTTGCCTGAACCCTGAGTTTCAAATTCCTTGCTGTTACCATTAACTCTGAAAGATGTTATACAAAACTAGAGATTAAAGAAATATAATGTAACTGGAAACTGATTATTAGTAGCTGTTGATGCACCTTGAACTCTCTCTCATACCATCAAATATAAAAAGTAGGGATTGTCATCACAGAATATTTTGAGTTGGAAGGGACCTTAAAGCTCATCCAGTCCCACCCCCTGCATGGGCAGGGACACCTCCCACCAGCCCAGGCTGCTCCAAGCCCCATCCAACCTGCCCTTCAACACTGCCAGGGATGGGGCAGCCACAGCTTCCCTGGGCAACCTGGGCCAGGCTCTCACCACCCTCACACCCAACAATTTCCTCCTCATCTCCAACCTCAGTCTCCCCTCTCCCACTTTTAATCCATCCCCCCTTGTCCTCTCCCTCCTTGCCCTTGTCCCAAGTCCCTCCCCAGCTTTCCTGGAGCCCCTTCAGGCCCTGGAAGCTGCTCTAAGGTCTCCCTGGAGCCTTCTCTTCTCCAGGCTGAACACCCCAGCTTTCCCAGCCTGTCCCCAGAGCAGAGCTGCTCCAGCCCTTGGATCATCTCTGTGGCTCCTCTGGACTCTCTCCAGCAGCTCCATGTCCTTCCTGTGTTGGGGGCTCCAGACCTGGACACAGCTCTCCAGGGAGTCTCCCCAGAGCAGAGCAGAGGGGACAATCCCCTCCCTGGCCCTGCTGCCCACACTGCTGGGGATGCAGCCCAGGACACGGGTGGTTTCTGGGCTCCAGCACACGGTGCTGGGTCGTGTTGAGCTTCTCATCCAGCAGCATCCATAAGTCCTTCTTCTCTGGACTGTGCATCTCACCAGTCTAAGCCAAGCCTTTTCACAGTGTTAACTGGAAGCAATCTTTACTCACCTTCTCAGCTGCTTGTGGGTCAGCTTTCACCTCCTGCCTCTTGCTGGCTTTAATATACTTAAAGCAGCTCAGGACACATTTGAACATACAGGCCTGCAAAGGAAAGGGAAAGGTGAGTCTGCTGCTGCACTGCAAGTCAACAAGAGCCTTTCCACTTTTGCCATGAGGTTCTGTTGTCCTACTGTCTTCTCCAGAGGCAGAAGCTTGGGGCCATGTGTCCCAAAGCTTTAAATCAGTCTCTCTTGATCCATAGAATCACGGAATCTTAGAACAGTTTGAGTTGGAAGGGATCTTGAAGTTCATCTAGTGCCAACACCCCTGCGTGGGCAGAGACACCTCCCACTAGATCAGGTTCCTTCACCAGAAAGGTGACAGCAACTCCAGGTACTCAGAACACTGGTGTGGGAAGTCAATAGAACTAGCAATACTGTTAAATATAAAGCACATACTTCAGACATCTGAGGGCACAAAGTCATCAGGCAGGAAAGCAAAGCAAGTCTTTTGTGTGATTTTTCTGACCAGGCTACAAATTCTGGTTCTCTCAGAAAAGCACCCTGGGCACAACATCCACCTCCCAGAGATCCAAGGCTCCCTGGTCAACTGGGACTGACCTGAAACGTCAGCTCACTATATCCTATAGTTACAATAGTTACACTTTTCTGACAAGGCTGCCTTGCACCTCATGGGGTTACAAGATGCAATAAATAGAGCTTTTCTGAGAAAAATGGATCGATTGACGGATTGTGGCACGAGGAAATAAGCAAGGCCTGTGAAACATACCATATTAAACAAATATTTTCTCTACTCTGTGCAGCCAGGCAAGTCGTGTGCCTCTTGTTTTTATTGGCCTAAGGCTCTGCTTGAAAAACAGTTGGCATTTCCAAAGGAACATAGGGAGTTGTATGGCCCAAGAGCAAACCATGTAGCTTAGCATTTCCTAGAACAATGAGGACTGTTTGTCTTGACAAAAAGCCAAGACAAAGAATGAGAACAAGGAATGAAGTATCTGAGTTGAAGGAATCCATCTCTCAAACAAACTGCCAGAGATGAGGAGGTAAATCCAAACTTTGACCACCTTTAGGGAATACTGCAAAAACCTTCCCCCTTCCAAAAGCCTCTTCATCCAGAGAGCAAACATGGAAGACACAGAAGCCATCATAGAAACTGCACAAAACCCCCACTCAGTCATGAAAAAAAACCCCAATAAATTAAAACAAATCTTGATTCTGGAAGAGTTTGCTGCAGTGCCAACCCAGTACCTGCATCAAATTCAATGAAGTTGACTTCAGACATTGCTGCAAGCAACAGCAGGTTCGAGCAGAACGTATTAGTACAGACAGGTTATGTGAAGGCAGCCAGTGACCTTGGGATCACCCAACTCCAAACCCTCACTGTAGGACACCCTTTTGCACACTGAATTGAAGAGGGAAAACTTCTCCAGCAGCCATTGACATTATAAGTGGGTGGGAAGCTTGTCCTCCAGGTCAGGAAGTGAGTTAACCCCTTCCTTCATTTGTCTTCAGAAATGTTTTATTCACCCTTGGTGATGGAGGGGGAGGACTTTGTGATGCTAAGGGGAGATGAAGATTATTTGTGGCTACACAGATCAGCAAAGGAGACTGTCCTCATGGTCCTTCACTTGCCCTGCCCTTTGAATACTTTGCATCTCCAAGGAACTTAGACTTGGACAACTGATGGTATCACCACTGGGCCTCTAGAAAGAAACATTCCATCACCCTGGGAAGGAGCTATGATGTTGCACAGAGACTTCCCTGTTGCCACAGATGAGGGTCCCTGCAGGGGGTGGTGTTATCTGAGAGGAAGAAGGGAGAGGAGCAGTACCAGCCCCAGCATTGTCAGAGAAATCTTTCCTAAAAGGGTGAGCAAAGTCTTGCAGGTCTCATCTGAGGTCACTGGCAGAGGTGTTCGGTGGGGCAGGTGCCCCATCTCTTCTCCATCTGCCAGTCCACCTTCTGGCTTAATGATGCTATGGTGTGGGATGCAGATTTGGGCACAGTGACTGCAGGTTGGCAGGCAAAGAACCCTGAATCCACAGAAACAACATTTTAGTCCAAGAGCACTAAATGCTTGTGATGGGTCATTAAGCCAATTTATGCAAAAAGCTCCTGGGCTAGTCCAACACATTTAGCTACTACTTTGGTGTGGGCAGTCAGTGAATTGAAACCAATGGGCCCTGAACTGGCCAAATGGTCTTGATAGGTCTAAAGCTTTTCATGTTGTTGGCACATTTCTCATCAGATCTTTATCACTTGGAAGGAACTCTCACATGAAAGTGGTTTGCTACAGATGGAAGAGGGGAGGAATTGTCAGGAAGCGTTTATACTTAGGGGTTCCTAATGACTTGTTCTGGGGAGTTTAGAGACCAAGGAGCACTTGTGCCTGTCCTTTTATTTATTTATTTTTCTAATGATCCTCACCCCTCTCTCCTCCTAGAAACTCCAGCTCAAGAAGACATTGCAAGTTAAGCAGTCCTGGAGCTAACCCTGTGGAAAATCCAAATCAACCCATTTGCCAGGTCAGTGAGATTTCAGCTGAAGACCCACCCTGCCAGCTGGGTTTCAAGGTTATCTCCACTCCTATTGCACAGCTTATGCAAATATGAAAAGATATGCTAAAGTAATGTCTGCTGTGCTCCACTCCAGCCTGGCTTGTCTGGCCACCTGGGAAGAATCTCAATAAAAACAATCTTCCCAACTAAAAAGCAGCATTTTTCACTGTGACAGAATCTGCTCAAGTACCGGGAAAGATCTGGTTTTCTTAGATGGTTTGAAACCCCTCAGCATAAAATCTGTTCTCTAATCCATTGAAGCAAGAAGAATAGAAACCATCTCACAGTGGAGTTTTCTGAGATGTAAGCAGGATTTAGCAGCTCATGGGTTTTAATTAAATCTCAGGCTATCAGTGTGCATCGCTCCGCTTCCATCAGCGCGGATGCAGGGACTTATCCAAGTGGAAGAGCTAAACTGCTGCTTAATGAGCTCATTTATTTTGGCACACAATAGCAGAAGAGTTTCCTCTATTTGTTTTCAAACATCTTACCCATCTAGAGATGAATGGGCTGCAATAGATTCTGGATGTAAGAGAGTTTTGGCTTTATAACTTGCGTCTGCTGAGGCGTAAACCCAGTGGTTTGAATGTTAGACCTTCCTCAGACACTGCGTTGAGGTATCACTCCTTTTATGCCCAAGGAGAGACCAACAAGTGCATTTCCTGGCCCTGGCAGATGTGAGAGAGAGGTAAAACCACTTCCTCCTCTTCCCCAGGCAAGAGACCTTCATTTCAGCCTCACCAGGCCATTTACCTTCAGGAAGAGGACAGCAATGAATGCAATGGTGAAGGTGACCATCACTTTGGCATATTCCTCTGTTGGTAACTTCTCCAAGGTTGGCAAAAAGCCCTGTGAAAAGAGGGGAGAAGGTCTGAGTCATAAAGGCTTGTTCCCTCAACCAGGATCACACAGAGTGGTGGTGATCTCAACGGGTTTCTTCAGAAAGGTGGGACAGGCCACCTTCCTTTCCTCATCAAAAAGAGCACAGGGATAATTTCCTGCTCCTACTGTTTATGCTCCTTTGGCAAAGATTTTCAGAAGACTATTAAAATGAGAACTAAAAGTATGACTGTTTAATAAAGATGAAAAGTCAATGCATTTTCAATGCATGCAGGCAGGCTCTATCCAAATCACTTGGCTCTGCAATTTGCATCCATAAGATACTTACAAGACAAACAAGGTGAACTTTGAAGAAACACACTCGTAAGGAAGTTGTCAGTCAAGGACACCATGTTGGTGAGAAGAGAGGGAAAATCCTCTTTTGTCATCAAATGGAAGTTCTGGGCATACCATAGTGATCAGAGAAAGTCTATCCTGTCTTGACAGCCACTGAAAAAAGCTTAATGGGGGTTCACAGCATGAAAAAATCAGCTGAGCTCGCTCATAACCTACCCCATTGCCTGAAGACTTGATGCTGAAGTAGGTGGGGACCTCCATGTAGGAGCTGCAGAGGGTGAGAATGCTCAAGCAGAAGTCCAGGAGCTGCAGAGCCAGGAAAGGGATCTTTGAGTGCCCCTGCTGCAGGAAGGGAAGAGCAGGAGTTTAGTTATGATTGCAAAACTGTAAATTTTCCACATTTTCCACACCCTGTGCTTTGCTCACATTGTCAGCCTAAGCCATTTAATTCACTTACTCCAGCCCAAATGGTGAGCAAACCATCTGATTTATACAAGCTCCACAGAAGAGGCCTCTAGCTGGAGCACTGGTACTCCTAATTCATCTCCAGCCAACTCTTCCTAGCGTGGGCACACCCAGAAGAATCTTCCCCAAAGCCATGAGACAGAAAATAAAATCAGTGGGAAGATTCTCAGACCTGTGGAACTGAACCATGTTCCTTCCAGCCCCCAAGGGTTGTGTCCTGTCTCCAGTCAGCATAGAAACTACCTCACCATGAGGTACCATGGCCCAAGATAATGATTCATTATTCCTACATTGCTCATCAGTCTCCAACCCACAGAGGACAGAGAAGACCAGCCCAGAAGTGAGATGTTACCTACCATGTGTCTAAGGGAGGACACAGACATGATCACTGGGGCTTTTATGTAGGAACTGAAAATTGTGAGGAGGCTGAGGAGAAAGTCCATGACTTGAAGAGCAAGGAAGGGGATCAGGAGACGTTCCCTCTTCTGAGAAAGGAAAACAATGCCAGTTATTTGGAGACTTTCCAAACCTGTCTGGATGTGTTTCTGATCACCTATTGTAGGTGTGCTGCTCTAGCAGGGGGGTTGCACTAGATGTTCTTCAGAGGTCCCTTCCAACCCTGACCACTCTGTGCTGTTGCTGTTCTGAACAGGAGAACGAGACCTGCCCTCAGTACCTGAAAGGCCATGTGTTAAGTACTCCAAGAACAAACACTTTCCTGGAGTTTCTGCATCTAATTCCATTCACTGTGGTGACAATTGATTCAACAAAAGGAAGTAACATTGAGTTTTTTCACCCCCTTGGAAAGTTTCTGTGAATTTTCACCACATGACATGGGCACTTGAGCCCATCAGAGCTGCCATCCAGTTGTCCCCCAAGTTCACCACTGCAGAGAAAGTTGGGTAATGCATGGTCATTTCTCCTCCTGAAATGGGAAACAAATCACCAGTATGGCAGGGGAGTTACAGTTCCCCTCCAGGATCTGACTTGCAAAGAGCAAGGCAATAAGGCAATAAAATGACATTTCCTTTCCTTAACATGAAAAATAGTCTTGATGGAAATGCCACCCAGATTTGGTGAATCTGGCAGTCAGCAACCTTGCAGATGAGTCTGAGACTTCAGATCAGTCACCTTCCACCTCTGCACAGGAGCAGAGAGATTCATTTCCTTTTCTGATCACACCACAGCAATTTCAGTGAGCACCCCCTGGCCCCCTTCCCTAACACCTCCTGACTCAGAGAGGCCTCAGCCAGCAGCTAAATGTCATTTGTGGAGCACTTACCTTCACCACACCAAGGAGGAGGTTGAAGCTGATGACAAACAGCATGATGATCAACAGGAAGCTGGTGATGACATCAGCTAAAAGCAAGAGAAGTAATTACCACATCACTAAAAGCTGGAGCTTAATGTCCCAAACAAATCCTACCTCTAAGGAAGAGTTCAAGTGTGATAACCTGGCAGAAAGAACTGTGGATGTGGGGGAATAAATGCCATGCAGCCTGGAAGTAACACTCTTTTTCCTTTTCTACCCTCAATTCTCCATCTACCTTTGAAGCTCCTGTTTCTTTAGCCACCAGGTTAAGCAGAATGTCAGCTCAGGCCCCCAGGAGCCAAAAGCCTTGATTGCCTGGGCTGAAATTTGACATATCCTAGGCTACAATATGAAGGTAAAAAGGAGCAGGAAAAAAAGGCAGAGTGCTTTTAGCTAATGATAAGTAAGCCTGAAGTGTTTTGAGTCTTCAAGACAGATAAAATGACCCACAGTGAAACCTGGTGAAAGAGCTGCAAGATTTGCAAGCAGACAAGAAGGATGAGTTTGAACCACCCACTGCTGGTACAGACCACAGAGCTTCAGGGAGGAATATCCCACCTCCCCTCTCTGTAGCTGCAGGATGCAATATACACCTTAAAAATAAGTGTGTGAGGAGAACAGCACGAGACAGCTCTACCTACAGGGCTGAGGGTGATCTTTGTCAGCTCTTTTGGGTGCAGGCAGGTGACCACTTCCACACACATAATATCCCACTCAACAGCTCCCAGGAAGCAGTTTTCCCTCCTAGTATTGCAGCCTGCCCTGGTGGCAACTACCAAAGCCTGCACAGCAGATACATTTGGTCTTCACAGGCACCCAGACAGTGTGAGATTTTTCTTAAAGCTGGTTTGTTTCTTAAAAAAAAGGCAGCTCACTCCATTGCTGCTTTCCTGATCTGCCTCCAGATCCCACCCAGCCTCTCACGGTGCCTCCTCCAACTCATTCTCCACCCCCTGCTTGTTGCTTTACCTGACTTAAAACCAGCAACAGTCTCTTTGGGGTCCCCAAGTGCTTGAATAAAAGGTTTAATTTTCATTAATGAAGAGACAAACTGAACTTTTCTGATGATTTTTAAAGCAACTGATCTGTTCCATAGGTTCTTTCCTGAGACATCAGAAATATTCAATGACTGGTTTGTTTCTTCCGTGTCAACTGCCCAGTGTATTTCATTGCTATGAAGATAACCTGGTGCTTGTCTGTTTTTTCCATTACCCCTTTCATAAAGAAATCTAGAAATTGTGTTTCAGCCTGTTGGACCCCTGATACATCCCAGCTTCTCTGAAATCCTTCACTGCTCCATATGACCCATTTTTTCCCTATGAAAATGCCCCTCCTCAACCTCCCCCAGCTCTGAGTGTTTGCCTGTACCTTTGGTACCACATTTTTTAGTGGGTGGGGAAGTATTCCAGTGCTTGGGCACACACCAAAGTGTCCTTAACTCCCTTCCCAGCTTTGCTGATAATAGAATAAAATAATTTACAGAGTTGCTGAGGCAGAGAAACCCATCCTGCTTTTCCAAGTGGATAACACCAACACTGCTGTTTACAGCAACAAAACATTTGCAGGGCAGCACTCACAGCTACAGCATCATTTGGCCAGTTACTCTGTTGGAAGGAGTGAATGCAAAGAGCCAGCCCATGTCAAAAGAAGACACAGAGTCCACCTTGTGCTGCCACAACATCTGGCAGGAGATGGGCACCCATTAGATCCAGCAGCTGCCACATATGACAACTGAGCAGTGCACCCAGGCTTTGCTAAGCAATGTGGATGAATGTCAGTTGAAGAAAGGACCACAGATGATCCTGAGATGCTCTGGAGCCTTTCCAGGATTGTAGAAGACCTGCCTAACAGCTGGGCTGAGCACATCTGGCAGCAAGGGCAGGTGGCACCACCAGCAAGACTCCTCACATCCTTACCCTGCTAGCAGGGATTGCACTTCAGTTCATTTGATTGATACAAAAGATACTTTAACTTCCCCTACTATCTTCTCACAAATTAGCAACGCCCTTGTGTTTTCTCTAGACATGAGAATTGCTGATGAGGAATCTTTAGTCTGAAAATAAGCTCTGACCAGAACTTCCTTCTCTGAGCATGAGAAGCCTCTTCCTTTCTGGGGCTCAAAGGGAAAAAGCCCTTTGAGGAGGCTGCAGCCCTCAAAGAAGCCAAAATAGCTCATCTCAAGAGAGGAAGAGGCTCTACATGAGTTGCTGCACATGGAGATGTCAGACATTCAAGACATAAGGGAGTGATTAAAAGCATCCAACTTAATGTACATGAGGAAAAAAAAAAAGAGCTTAGATGACACCAAACAAGAAAAGAGATTTTACTTATCATCTGAAAGGAAAAACAGAACTCAAAAGCAGGATCTGCTTACTGCGAAGGAAGGAGAATTGAAAAGCAGAAGAGGAAGAAGTCTTAGGAAACAGCAAAAGAAAACTCAGATCCAGAGAGGGCAGCAGAGAAAGACCTTCACTGCAGAAGAGGTTGCTCACAGCTTTGCAGCTCACAAGGGTCGTGGGAAGAGCCTAAACTTCAAGGCAGAAAACCAACCCCACCTTTCAGAAGCAGGAGAGAAGAGACAAGGCTGGGATCTGGTGCACAAAGAACCAGAGACTAACAGGAAGTCTAAAAGCAAACCCAGCTGAACAAAGCAGAGAGACTCAGCAGAAACAGTCCCAGTCAACCCCAAACTGCCTGGAGCTGCTTCCCCTGGTTTTCCTCCCAGAACCAACCATCAGAAGTTGGTCCCAGAGAGGATTTATCTCCTTAGCATGGTGTCTCCTTGGATTCAAAGCTGCTGTGTTTTCCTGCCTCTTCCTGGATGGTCTCATGCCCCACCTTTCTCAGCAGGCTCACTAATTAATTGGGCAACTGGCCCTTGCTCTTGCAGGCTAATTGCTGGCAGGACTCAGCTGAATTTTCCAAGCAGAACCAAGATCAAACAAACCCTCAACAAAACAAGAAGGAAACCCAAATCCCACAACCCTACAGACACAAAAGGATGGAAAGAAAAGGAAAACCAAGAGAAAACCAATTTCTGTGCACTGTCTCCTGTTTGTTCACAGCAAATACTGTCCTGGTTTCTGCTGGCAGCACATCTTTCTGTTTCAGGGATGTTTAAGTAGCAACAGATTTGATCTCAGCAATCCAATGGTTTGCCTCTTCCTTTGAGGGAGCACATTGAGCAGATGGGCTAAAGGAGTGACCCCCCTTAGACAGAGGTAGCTGCTGGCTGTTAGCCCTGGCTGTGCAAGCTCTCCATGAGATGGGCATGTGGCACATGGTACAGTGAAGCCAAATGCCACCTGGGATGCTTTGCAAGGGCTGGCAGAGTGGCAAGGAACCTTCCAGAACCAGCAGCAGGTCCCTGGGGATCCCTGGGGCTTGAGACACCTGCAGCCAGATCAGACCCTACAGACCATGTTACTAACAGACTCTTTCCATCCCCAGCAGCTGGTGTCCAAAATTATAATGTGTTAGTTTTTAAGTCACTTCAGTATTTTCCTTCATGCTTAGTGGGCCTTTTTAGGATGAATATTTATCTCTTTTCTACTTAAAACCCCCAGAAAAGGGCAACATTTAGAGAACCTAAACCAAGCTTGGACACCTGGACAATGTCAAACACAGGGGCATTATTCCATGGTTTCTCCCACATGTTCATCTGAGTGTCTATCCCAGGAATAACCTGTTTTCCTTTACAGCACCTTAAGAAGTACTGGAATATTGAGAGCATAACAGGGTTTGTCCCTGGAGAAGGTGTTTTGGCTCTTAGGGGGCTGGTATTGCAAGAGAAGAGGCAATAGTTGCAACAAAGGGAATTCCAGATAAAAGAAAGGGGGGAAAAAACCCTAACAATACGTGACACAGTCTTGAACAGGGATGCAGAGAAGATGTGGAATTCTGGGGAATCTGCCAACCTTACAGGGCCCTCACCAGCTCTGAGGGGAAATTGGGTATTTTCCTCTAAATAGCTGGAAACACTGGTGGAATGCAATGGCCTCAAGCTGTGCCAGGGGAAGCTTAGATTGGATATTAGGAAAACATTCTGTACTGAAAGAGTGGTCAGGCATTGCAACAGGCTGCCCAGGGAAGTCATGCCTGATCCATCTGGTGGCCTCCTACAACAAGGCTGCAGAGATGGTGGATGGTGGCAGAGCAACTGGTGTCATGGACCTGGGTTTGTGCAAGGTCTTTGACACTGTCCCACGTGACATCCTGGTCTCCAAACTGACAAGGCATGGGTTTGACAGATAGTGACAGGACAAGAGGTTTTAAACTGAGAGAGGGGAGATTCAGGAAGAAATTCTTCACTCTAAGGGTGGTAAGGAACTGGGATGGGCTGCCCAGGGAGGCTGTTGATGCCCCATCCCTGGAGGTTTATAAGGTTTGATGAGGTTTTGTGCAGCCTGGTCCAGTGGGAGGGTTCCCTGCTCATGGCAGGGGTTGGAGCTGGATGAGCTTTAAGGTCCCTTGTAAGGGAAGAAGCCTCCCAGTCCCTTTAGCTGGGCTTGTTTTTCATCAGAGAAGGAGGGAATGTTTTCTGCACAGGGAATGGTGGTCATGGGATGTGCTGTGCACACAGGGCTTCAGGCATAACTGAGCTATTTTCCTTGGCTGACTGGACAGAAACTGAAACTTTTCCAGTTGTACTTTGTCCACAGTGACCATTTTTATAGTCATTAAAGAAAAGGGATCAACATTCAGACTGTCCAGACACATACTGAAGATAACCTAAAGATGAGACCCCCAGCAAGCAGTGGGGTGTCACCTTTTCAAGGCAGAAAACCATTCATGTTAGTTGCTCAGCACTGGAAAGGAGGTTTTCATGGAAATGTTTTTCTGGGAGATTGTTGTTTTTATCTGGTTTGATTTTTTCCAGCAGGAAAAGCTGGTCTGCCAAGGCTCCTGTGCCTTCAGGAATGGAGCAGTGCCAAGAAGACCTGTGCTAGGAAGGCTTCTCAGCTCCAGGGGGAGATTTCTAATAGACTGGAAATGGGGGAGGATGCATGAAAAGTGCACATCCAAATTTCTGCTGTGTATGAGGTGG